AGCACAAACACCAAGAGCCACTGCTGGAGTAGAAATCATACTGTAAACTGTCCCAACAGTTTCTTATGGGTGAGTGCATGATAAGCTATCATATACATTTCATGAAGAAAAATGTTGGTCCTTCCTCTATATACTAAATTTCTTAATGAGGATATTTAGAATTCTATTCTCTGAATTTAATTATTTCTGAGAACACAAAAATATCGAGGAACAGGGACACACATGTTGCTAAGCAGTTGCGTAGTAAAGTTTTTTTTCTAGAATTTAATAATAAACTATAGAAGGGAAGCAATTAGAAAATGTGATTTAGCTATCATTAATCTACATCAAAGGGTTATAATGATGTACATTGTGTGCCTTTCAAATTATTCTCTATTATAGGTTTCACAACAGAAGTTGAGAAATCTCTTTGACAAACTAGTCCCCTATTAAAAATCAAAGGAAAGTACTTTGCTACCATCTGTGCAACATTAACGCCTTCACTGAAGAATGATTATTTTGTAAGTTAAGAAGTATTCAGTTCTATTTAAAAAAAAAAAACAACAGCAAACAGCTATTCAAACACTCATCTTCATCTATTATAAAAAAAAAAGCCAGAGCATATATGAAACACTATGTAATTTGCTACAAGAAAACCACAATCTCTCCCAAAGCCAGAAAAAGGAAATTATTATTCTATGAAAGCATAATCAAAGTACTTCTTTAATGTCACCAATACCAACATATGCTGCACAGAACCTGACCAGCACCTGCAAGGTCTGATTTAATGACAGGGGGCAAAAGAAAAATAAAAACTTTTAAAATTAGCTTCATTAGTAGAATGAATTTTGTTATAAAGAATAAGGCAAAATTATCTATAAATGGTTGTCAGAAAAAAATTTATGACAATCTCTTCTCTTTAAAGTATCCTGAACACAGAAAAATCTGTTCAAGTATTTAGAAGCTCATTTTAGAAAGTGTAACTATAAATCAGGCTTCTTCATCTACAGTATACTATCTACTATGTCCATGATTTGACAGTTCTTCCTAATTACCTACCTTAATGACAGTAATTATATATTTTATAGTAAATGCAAGTAACAAGGTTCACGTGGAACATAAATTGTCAACTATGGGTGTTTTAAAACACCGAGAATATGTGTGAAATGTCCACGCGTTCCCCAAAACTCACCATCTTCAATGGTTGAGCGGTAACTGTACCAGAGGACTTTGGGATCACTCAATGTAATATTCCTATTTGGTACTGAGAAAGACTGTTTTTTCAAGTTTCCTTGTTATAAAATAGAATCAACTATTTTACCCCAAATTATTAGTCTTCTCACCCTATTCACTAGTTCACCATATTCCTCTCTCTCTTTAGAAGTACTTGCTAGAAAGCAATCCCACATAAAAATTATACCTGAAATAACAGAGTGGGTATGCTATAAAGAAACAAAGAAAAGCAGCCTTCCCTCACCCACCCCCACGTCCCTCAAATGTCTTCCAATGCCATTTTGTCAGAGGGCACACACCAGGAGTAAAAGCTGATGATAATGCAGTTGACACTCAGTAGAAAAAAGTTCCATGCCACGAAAATGACCCATCTGAACAGAAACTGCTAAACTGCTGGGTAACACTCTGCTGCTCCCACAGGGAGCTTAGGGTTTATTGAGCCACTCCTACAATAGAGCAACTGAGGCACAACTAATAATCCTATATTGTTTTTCTCTTTCCTTTATGTCATTTGCATGGGTCTTCGATAAAAACAGCAAAGGAGACTGCTACTGTCGCAAATGGATCACTGAGGCACTTGATCCCACAGTCACTGACTCCCCGACTAGAGTGTGCCTCATTTTACTTCTGGCATGTGATAGTGTGGAGAGAGTATGAGAATGGGGGGGGCTTGGAGGGGAACACTTTCCTTTTTCTTCTTTCTCTCCTCTCTCATTTTAGCAGTGAAATGGCTCATGAAAGCACCAACTCAGGTCAGCACCAAACTAACAAAGCAACTAACTACCCTCTGCAGAGCCGAGGATCTCCGTTTCCTTGTGACAAAATCCAGGGATTGAAAATGTTCTTTCAGGGTCCGGAGATGGCTTCAAGGACTCCAGTGCCTGTTCTGTACGCAGGACCCCGGGGGAAAGGGTGGGGGACTGAGTTCAGGTACTGCAAGGTCACCTGGCCCTGAAGGACCACCGCGCTCCCCCACCAAAAAAATGAAGGAAGGAAGGAAGGAAGGGAAGGAAGGGAAGGAAGGGAAGGAAGGGAAGGAAGGGAAGGAAGGGAAGGAAGGGAAGAAAGGAAAGAAAGAAAGAAAGAAAGAAAGAAAGAAAGAAAGAAAGAAAGAAAGAAAGAGAGAGGATCTTCCAGCTCCTGAAATTCTGATTATGTTATATCTGAGTGTCAGTGAAGCTCCAATTTATCTTAAGAGAAGCCATGATAACATCCAGCACTGCTCAAGTCTGATAATGAACAAAGTAATTATACCTCATTATAATAAGGAAAATTGACACAAAATGATCTTTGGAAAATTACTTATCATAGCTTTCTCCCAGAAAGTCTATCTCTAGGCTAAAGAAAGAGAACATTCTAAGAGGCCTCCAAGGTCCCACACAAAAATTTGTTCTAGACTTCCTATTTATATATATATATATTGCTTTTTTGGTCACACCCAGCGATGCACAGGGGTCACTCCTGGCTCTGCACTCAGGAATTACCCCTTACCCCTGGCAGTGCTCAGGGGACCATAAGGGATGCTGGAAATCGAACCTGGGTCAGCCACGTCCATCCGCTATGCTATCACTCCAGCCCCTAAGTATATATTTTTAATTGGAAAATATTCCACAGCCCAGAGAGCTCAAAAGGCTGGTGTGCATCATTTGCCTGCTGGAAGCCCTGGTTTGCTGGGGAGTCACTGGTCCCTCAAGCGCTGCTGGCCACGATGCCCTAGAAACACACCCAGAGCATCGCCTGAGCACAGGCAACCGAGCCTCATTGACTCTGCTTCTGTCTCTATCACCTTTCAAAATGCCACTGTGAGTGGTGAAGGTTAAATTGTGTTCCTCCCAAAATTCTCCTTTTCAAATCTAAATCCCCCTCGAAATGCGAACTTCCTTGAGAATCAGGTCATTAAAAAAAAGATTACTCAAGATGAAAAGGGTGGGTAGGACTCAAAAGCAGATTTAATTCTGACCACCTCCCAGGCATGGATGGAGGGACATGAAGACTGTCCACAAGCCAAGGACGAATCCCAGACATGCCTTCCCTACCTCAGGGACACGCAGTCTTTAGAACTGAGACAAATTTCGGTTCCGTCACCCCACCCATAACTGCTATATGGTTACCCTTGTGGCTAGGATATTATCATACTGGCAACAGTCGAATCAAAACATACTGACAGCTGCAGACTGCAAAGCAGCACCCCAAATTTCAATGCCTGGCCACATTCCTAACAGACCATGCGACCTTGGGCATCTAGAGAAAGCCACGCTAACACAGACATGAACGTTTTACATAGTACACGGCTAATTCCTGACAAAGAACTCCTGCTTTAGCCATTGATAATGCATACGGGAATGAGACAATCTCTGTAGCTACAAAAATAAACAAGTGGGCAATCAATATAATTTTTCCTCACTGCATTCTTAAAAAGATTTATAACATAATAGTGCTTTTTGAAAGGTAAACAGTTCTTTTAAATGTCTGTAATTAAAACTAAAAACAAGTAAAATTCTATGATTTTAATACTTTTTTTGTTTTGTTTTGGTTTTGGTTTTAGGGGCCGCGATGCTCAGAGCTTACTCCTCACTCTGCATTCAGAGACCACGGACCTGGTGGGCTTGGAGGACTATATGGGATGCCGAAGATTGAACCCAGGACAGCCACGTACAAGGCAAACGCCCTATCCACTGTACTATGGCGCTGGTGCCCGATTCGAATACTTCTTGAATATAGGGACTCAGGTCAGTCAAACTAAAGATTATTTGCCTTGTTTCTTTATTGGGTCCATCAATTTCACCATTAGCAGTTCATAATAACAAATCATGTTGAAAATATTACATCAAACGATTTTAAAGCCGAAACCAACCACTTGAAATGACCAACAGTAATCATTCATAGCATCTTCCAGCTAAGAAACAGTTTTCTTAAGAACACAACTAAAATGATGAAATCTGGTCAATAAAGACAATTCCAATATCTAATTATCAAGAGTAAAAACACTTCCCAGAGTTAATCACTTCTCAGCAGAGAGCATGATAGGAAAATACATAGTTAATACAAAATCTAGAAACAATTTGAAAAACATTAATCCCACCCACATAGAAAAGAAAAAGAATATTAGGGCTTTGATCATTTAAAATACTTGTCTAATTCAGTCTGGAAGTGTGATGCATGGAAGAATGTTTTAATTTATCCTGGAGAATTGTATGAATAAAGGATTAAAACTATTACAGATTAAAAAATAGTCAATATATTTAATACAAAACTCAAAATTGCAAAAAGCAGGCAATAGGTTATTTTAAAAAAAAGTCTCTGGACTGACAATCAGAAAAAATGAGCTTTATTTCTTCTGTTTATAGTGCCAACTGATGTGTGATTTTAGGCAAGATTATTTAACCTCTGCTTCTGAGTTTCTCACCTATAAAAAAAAGGGGGGACAATTGGCCTTAATTAACTCTAAGGTACCTGTCATTTCTTAACCTAATTCCAAACATTTAGGAAGCTTTAAAAATCTGAAATGTTTCAATCCTAATAGATCTTTTACATCCCTCTCGGAGAGCCCGGCAAGCTACCGAGAGTATCCCGCCTGCACGGCAGAGCCTGGCAAGCTCGTGATGTACTCGACATGCCAAAAACAGTAACAAGTCTCACAATGGAGACGTTACTGGTGCCTGCTCAAGCAAACTGAACAACGGGAGGATAGCTACAGGACAGTGCTACAGTGCAGACCTTCTGCATGCCTCAGATTCATCTGAATTCATCAGTTACCTAATAAGAGAAACAGTGATAATATTTCTTACCTGAAACATTACTGCCATATATCAAACTTCGAAGCTTACTACAGAGCTGGATCATGCTGTCCAATTGTCTGTTTATCTTGACATCTTGTATCCAGGCTGGAGTGTAACATACTGGACATTTGCTTCCAATGTAGTCACTCACACAATTACTTGAAAAGGAACAACAACGACAAAAAAAAAAAAAAAAGATCAATATATTTAGCAAAATCTGAATTCCAAATCCTAAGCACAAGCAGAATTGAAACAGAAGTGAAACAGATTGTTTTAACAATGATCCGAAAGATATTCATCAGAAATGGTTTGTGAAAAAGGATGATACACGCGGGGGGGGGGAGGGGGGGGGGCGGAATCTATAGCTGTTTATGTAACTTGCTCTGAAGACAGAAGTCAGACAGGAAGTCCACTTTAACTCCCATCGGCATATCAATCTCCAGTTTCTAAAGGGCGAGAGTACAGAAGGCTGCATGGTAGGGTTGAAATTTTTCCAACTTTTAAAAAAAATGTTTCAAATTTTTTACAAATAGGACATGTATATTTTAATAAGTGTCTAAAGCCTTTAAAACAGTTGCGGAGATGCCCAGAGAGAGTTCGACTGGTTCAGTGCACAATCTGCATGCAGGGGCCGGGCACACCCTGAGCACAAAGCCAGGAGAGCATAACTGTGATGGCCCCAAACAAACAACTAAAGTAGTTGTTGAAAAGATCTTGAGATCTTCCACCTATTTTTATTAGGGGATGGGAGGGGTGGAATGAGGGCAGAGAGGGCTGTGTTCAAGGCTTGTTCCTGGTTCTATGCTCAGGGATGATCCTACGGGTCCTTGGGGAACTATATGGGCTGCCAGGAATCGAACCAAGTCAGCCAAGTGCAAGGCAAGCACCCGAACCCGCTGTACTATCTCCCCGGCCCCATGTTCTTCCACATTTTAAACCTGTGAACTCAATTAAATTTCCCTGGGTTATTGAAGACTTACAGTCTCGGTTAGCGAGGGTTTTCCTAACTTGAGGGCTACAAAGTGCTCATACACATTTCAGGAAGATGTACACAAGTTCTTGTAGTTAATAAAAAGTAGGGAGAGGATTAAGCAAATCCCCCCGAACCCTATGTTGAGGACTCTGCACATTACCAGATGGGCTTGGGAGGAAATGATAGTGAACTGCTGTGAAAGCGACCACTGCCCCCTACAGAGCGGCCCTTTTCAAGTGGCCCCCTCTCATCTGTAGGCCCAAGAACAGTCTGAGAGTCCAGATCTTTCTATCAAGAGTCTTAGATCACCAGCTCTGTAAAGGGCCAAAGCCAGATCTCACTGAAGCTTAGTTTCTTTCATTCTTTTTTTCCCCAGTGTAACAATGAAGTCACCCTTTGGAGCTATCAGGGCAGGATTCATTAAACTGAAGCCACGCCAAAAAAAAAAGTCAGCCACACTTGGTCTGAAATCACAAAAACCCGTGTAGCATTGGTTTCACTGTGCCACAGTGAGAACTGACAGATAAACCTAGTTGGAACATGGAATCCTAGCGAGAGCTCACAGCTCTCTGGGGGGAAAAAAATCCCCATGCTGACAATAAGAGACTGGTCAGTAGGCTTTTGCTGCAGGAATGTTTGGATTCCCCCTTCGTATCTGACAGACCTCCTCCTATGCCTTGTCTTGTGCTGTTAATTGCAAACCATATACCCAGACACCACCATGACATGGCCTGGAGACCAGATGGTATTGGACTACCGATGGCTGGCTATGTTACGGGGCCTCATATTCCACAGACCTGTCCATCTGCTATTTTGACTATAGAGCTTATTTCCACGGAAGCCTGTTCTCAGCAGAGATTTACTGGAAGAGATGCGTGTCTTGCTTATGGAGTGCAATTTGAAATGGCTAGACCTGGTCAACATGGCTGGTGACAGACACTTTCTACAGAACAGGCCCTAACTACAAAGAATGTTTCTACTGCCATTATTGGTAAAGACTTGGAGCTTACAGCTGATGATGATGATGATGATGTGCTTCCATGGAACGTCTTGAAAAAAAGAGTAAAAAGCACATTCTGGTCAATTTTCAGGAAAGGCTGATGAACCAATGGAACAGTAGAAAGTGACAGCCAGTCTCTATGTGAATTAAAATATGTGAGAATGAAAAAATACGTTGTGATAACTACATTCCATACTGTGAACCAAAAGATGCAGAGTGGTGCAATGGTATTTTAGGAATCACAATATAGACATAAATTTTTTCCAAGCAACTCACTAAAACAATAAAATGTAATGTATGTTTCTTTAATAGATAATAGACTCTAAATAATCATTTTCTAGAAAGTACAGGTATATGAACAAATGTCTTTCTATTAAGAAGAGTACTTTTAATTATAAGAACTGTGAAATAAAATGGTTTCACAAGTTGGTTTAAAGGCATAACAACAAACCTTTCTGCATCCTTTAGAAGATGGCATAATCCTAATCCAAAGTAGCTCAATAAACAAAATAAATGCGAAAATTACACCCTAGCAGGCAGAGACCTTCCAGATCTTCGAGATGGTTCGATAAATGCAAAATTTCTTTAACCACGAAAGAAACTTTTTTGAATGTGTTTGTTAGAATGTTAATAAACATTCTTAAACTGGAATCCCAAAATAGAAGGATAAATTTATTCCAGGAGATGTCAATCATCCATTGGGCAATAGTCAATTATCTGAGGAACATCCATGAAATATAATCAAAAATCCTCATTACTAAGTATGGTCTCCACTTAACCTTTGATAAAGGAGCAAGAAATACGAAGTGGAGCAAGGAAAGCCTTTCCAACCAATGATGCTGGGAAAATTGGACAGCTACATAAAAAGCAATGAACTCAGATCTCTCTCAAACACCAGGCACAAAAGTCAAATCAAAATGGATTAAAGGCTTCAGTATCAGACCTGAATCCACAAGGTACATATATGCAAGGTACATATATGCAAGGTACATATATGCAAGGTACATATATCCATGACACTGAAGCTAAAGGCATCTTTAAAGATGAAATACCACTGACCCACTGACCAAGCAAGTGGAAGCAAAAATAAGCAAATGGGACTACATTAAAAAAGAAGCTTCTGTACCTCAAAAGAAATGATGACCAGGATACAGAGTCAGCCCACGGAATGGGAAAAATTATTTACCCAATAGCCATCAAATAAAGGGTTAATAACCAAGCTATAAAAGGTACTGATAGAACTTTACAAGGGGAAAAAAAAAATTAAAGTCCATCAAAAAAATAGGGAAAGAAATGAACATAAAATTCCTCAAGGAAAAAATAAAAATGGCCAAAAGGCACATGAAAAAAATGCTCTACATCACTAATCATCAGGGAGATATAAATTAAAACAACAAAGAGATACCATCTCACACCAGAGACTGGCACATATCAGAAAGAACAAGAACAACAAGTGTTAGCTCAGATGCAGGGAGAAACATTCATCATTCTCATTCATCACTGATAGGAATGTCAACCGGTTTTCCTTTTGGAAAACAATATGGGCATTCCTCATTAAGCTAGAAATATGACCTAGCAATACCACTTCTGGGAACAGATCCTGGAGGCACAAAAACATATACCTGGTGGTGCTCAGGGGTTACTCCTCGCTCTGAACTCAGTAATCACTTCTGGCAGTGCTCGGGGACTGTTATAGGATGTCAGGAATCGAACTTGGGTTGTCCACATGCAACATAAGCACCCTACTCATTGTGCTATCACTCTAGCCCCTAAAATATCCATTCGAAGTATAAGATAAACTAATGGAAGTTAATGCCCCAGGGTATAAAAAAATACTGATACAGTCTTAGATTCCACACTATAAGCCAAACAAACTAGCATTTGTCAAACAGTGGTACAATATAGCCAAAATGAAAATTCACAATTATCTATAAAAGACATTCCAATGTTCCTCCTTTACTCAACTACAGATACATCTAAGACCAGATTTTTTTTCCCCTAGATGTGTTAATCAAAGGAATAAATTACAACAAATTAAATACATACTCGGCATGAGAATCTAGCTGTCTCCTATTAGGCAATAAAGAGGTTTTCAAAAATGTAAAAAGGTGCCACTCTTTTCCCTACTTTTTCCTTTAGTTTATGAACGGTCACGGTCCTCCCGTTGTTCATTGATTTGCTCAAGCGGGCCCAGTAACGTCTCCTTCGTGAGACTTGTTGTTACTGTGTTTGGCATATCGAATATGTCACGGGTAGCTTGCCAGGCTCTGCCATGCGGGCGAGATACTCTCGGTAGCTTGCCGGACTCTCCGAGAAGGGCAGAGGAATCGAACTCGGCTCTGCCGGGCTGGCTGTGTGTAAGGCAAATGCCCTACCGCTGTGCTATCGCTCCAGCCAGTTCATTTTTTTCCTCAGAAATGATTGTTAGTTTGGAAACAGACACATAATACAAGGGTAGGCTGCTTGTCTTGGTCACAAACAACCAGGGTTCAATTCCCAGCACTGCATATGGGCCCTGGCAGGAGTGAAGCCTCAACAAAGACCCAGGACAAAACCCCAAGTACAGCTGGGTTTGGGGGGGGGGGGGGAAAAGACCCACTAAAACTGAATTATTATTCAGTATATACAGTAGACTTGTCATTGATCTTTTTTTTTTTGTAAGTCACAGCAATTTTTTGTTTACCTCCTTCCCCAGCAGGGTGCGGCAATGCTGGCCTGAAGATCCCTGAGCTCCTCCACCTTACACTATCCCCCCCACCCCACCCTAAAAGTCCCCTTTATGTGCTAACACATAAACAAACTAACAAAGGAGCACTTCTCAGGGGCAACTCCCAGTGGCGCCTGAGGAAAAGGTGGCAGTGGCATGTGAGTGCTGGGGACCATACCCAGACTTCCCAAATGAAAAGCGTGTGTTCAGCCTCCCAAGCTCTCTACCACCTCCTTATCCCTATTTTTTTCTGGTCACACCCATCGTTTCTCAGATACTACTGCTAGGTGATACAAAGGGTCGTATTTTACTTTTTTTTTGGGGGGGGGGTGCTTGGCGATCCCATGGAATCCAACCTAGGGCTTCAGCAAATCAAACTCCATCATGCTCCAGACCACTGAGCTACATTCTCAGACCAGAGTACTTAATCTGGATTAGGGATTAGGCCACACCCATTGATCCTCAGGGAACCACGCAATGTTTAGGAATACAATCAGATCAGGCAGCCCCATGCAAAGCAAGCATCCTAACCCCAGTACTATCTTTCCAGCCCTGGAGTCCTAAATTTTTAAGTAAAAAGGACTCTGAGACGAAATGTTTGAGATGTCCTGCTCTGTGTCTCAAATGACCCCCATCTTAAATATAGCGCATGGACTACTTTTCCTGGGGATTGTCATAAACCCCGGACACTGTCAATAAGGGAAGTCTGTACACCTAGAGTCTCCTCCGATTTCTAATGGTTTCAGCTGGATTAGGGCAGATTCAAACTATTTTAAAACCCCATGATGTTAAGGAGTGTTACGTCAGTCCCAAACTCAAAGAATTCAAACAGCTGGCCTAATTCTTGGCCTAACATCCAAAAACCCAAACAACACTAAGTCCAAATTCATTAATTTTTTTTTTGGGGGGGGGAGTGTCACACCAAGAGGTGCTCAGGGCTTTTTTATGATTCAGCAGTCATGGATCACTCCTGGCAGGACTCAGGGACCATATCAGATATTGGGGATTGAATTTAAGTCAGCCATGTGCAAGACTTACTACCGCTCTAGTCCCTGAATCCATTTTTTAAAAGATATTCTCATGGCTCTCAAACCATTTTAAGAGTCACAGTGCCCTGCGGGATCGACAAACACAACATATGCACACACTTCACTCAGTTTCCTGGAGTTTGCTATGCTCCAGCAGAGTGACTGCAGAGCGAGTGCAGAGCTTTGAAACCAATCTGTGAGCTAGTGGAAACAGGCTTCATTTCATAAGGGGATCATGGGTGGCCTTTTGGAAGAGTGACATTTGAGCCAAGACATTAATAAGGAAAAGTCAGTCTGAGGAAAATTCAGGGTTAAGTACATTTCAAGTGAAAAAAAAACAAAAAAAAAAAAAAACAACAGTGCAAGTCAGGAGTGAGCGGCCAAACGTAGCTAACAGAAAAAGGGGAGAGAGGGTGACAGGCAGGAACTTATTCGGAGACTGGTGGCCCTTGGTACAGAGGCACTGCATCCTAAGTGCAGTAAGAAAGCTTTCAAGGATACTAAATACAGACGGGATTCACCTGCTCCAAACTATCACTGCCAAGAATGCAGAGAGTGGGGCAGGGGACCAGTTGCGAATTTAATACAATAGTCTGAGGTAAGACATTTTAATGGACCAAACAGTGGATATAAAGACAAGTGAAGCAAGCAAAAGCCCCAGCCACCCCAGACTCAGGGCACATTCTGAGGCTGAGCTATCAAGAGTTTAGTGATGTGGGATACTGAGGGGAAAAGAAACAGTCGGGCCTGAGCTGTTCTTCTGCCTCAAGCAACTCTGCAGTCCATCAGCACAAATGTTTCCTGCTACAAGGATAACAGAGGCAGGCAGGAAGAGCAGATCAACATCTGCTTGATCAACAGATCGGCTCTCAATACCGCCGGTCTGGAGGCCCTTGATCAGAGAGAAAATGGGAACAGTTCTGCGGCCATCCTTGCCCATCCTTCCACTGGACATGCCCCATATAACAGGCCCTGCGGCTTCTCCAGTAAATAAATTTGGAGCCCCACCCTGGGTGCCTCCCAGACATCCCCAGGGCACTGAAGTCAGGAAACACATCATTTCCATGCGATTAAGCTTCCTATTACAGGTAGCATGTGCCAGAGAGTTATAATTTGGAATGATTTAAAGGTTGCTCAAGAGGTTCTATTAACAGAAATTACACAAAGATATTCAGTCCTTTAATTGATTTCTCCTGAAAAGGCAACAGAATGAGATCTTAAGGAAAGAAAAAAATTGAATATCCTAACCTACAAGCCGAAGACTTGTAATGTAACATGAATATAATTGCACAGTAACTGTTACGGGTTGACTTGTGTGCCCATACTGAAATCCTAACTCCCAGTACTTATAAATGACCTTATTTGGAAATAAGGTCTTCGCAGATGATCAAGTTGAGGGGTCCAGGGCAATCCCTAATATTCCTAAAAGAGAGAGAAATCTGGACACAGAGACAAACACGCAATATGGGAGAATGTCACAGGTACATGAGAACAAGGTGAGTGACGTCACAGAAACCAAACACTATTAGGAGGTAGGAGAGAAGCAGAGAACCAATTCCCTCCCAAGCCTCAGAAGGAACCAGCCTCACTGACACCTTGCTTGATACCTATCCAACACAACTACAAGACGATACATTTTTGTTGCTCTAAGTCACCCACTTTGGGGGTCCTTTGTCACAACAGCCCTAGGAAACTAGTACAATAATTAGACAAAACAGACTTTCAAGAAGGAGCAACCGCTCAATGAATTGAATGCATACTTTGCACTGAGGTTTGGCTGTGGGCACCGTCAGAAGCAAGGGGCAGGGAGTGGCCCCTGGGCACCAGCTGATACTGTCCCCCACCCAAGAAGAATAAACAAAAAGAACAACAGACCAAAAAATTTTTAAAAAGGCTTTCATAATCTGAAAAGTCTAGATTCCAAACAGAAACAAGACATTTTTGAACTATATCTGAAATGCATTTTCCCCCATGTTTTGCAAGTTATGAAATTTATTAACTGTGGAGAAGCCATCCTCTTTGAGTTTTAATTTTCTGATTTGTACACTAAAAAAAATTACAGGGATGAAAATAAAATATGCAGTTAATTTTGCAGACCAGAATCATAAGGTATTTACTATTACCAATAGGATTATATGACTATCATCTGAAAAATGGTTACATATTTCTTACTTACCAACAGAAGATGTGCTCACAGCCTCCTAAACACACAGGATCCCTGAGAATGTGAGAGCTGTTTGAAAAAAAGAAACACAATCCCAATTTAAGTCACTGTTACATAAACCTCCCCACCTACAATTTCTTAAGTTCAAGGCCCAACACTGATATGCATTTCTCCCTTTCTCAAAGCAGAAGACAAGAAGGACATATTCATTTGAAAGGCTGTTATTCCCTGTCATATCACACACCTGCTGAATTCAAATAGGAACTACAAAACTTGGTATAAGCCATAATGCTTTTCTAATCCAAATACTGTGAAATAATATAAATTCAAATCCACTTACTTACCCATAGGCTCCTAAAAACTCTTTTATAACTACTAAGCTACACCTTCACCAAATGATTCGAATTGTAACCCACAAATAAAAGGACAATATAATGCATGACCCAAATGGCAACATTTCTGAGAGAAGGTAGTGGGTACTGGGGCAGCAAGTGTAGACCAAGGCTGTCCCAGGAATACTGGGATACCTTAGACCCCACTGGCTATAACACTGTGGCTCACATTAATTGCAACATTGGTTCCTGGCCACTGAAGAAGCCACCGATTTTTTTGTAGATGCCTGTCAAAAATACTGCTGGTACAGTTCACAGAAAGGAGATTGTTTTGTTCTTTAAGGAACTGCAGGGAGGAACCATCAGGTTCTGCAGCCTAAATGAGATTCAGAGCACTGGGAGATGAAAGGAAAAAAACCCACACACAATTATTCCCAACCCTGTTCATCAAAATACCCATCCCACCTTATAAACCTAAAAAGGTAACAGCATTTACTAATAAATACACATCGAGTTATTATATTCAGAGGGTGTAATGGAGCAAAAGCAAACAGACCTGCAAAGCTCTTAAAAGATGAACATTTTTTGTACACTAACCCTAGGACCTTGAGATATTTACACCATTATTATCCAATTACCTCTGTACACATACAATATATAAATACTGTTTCCACGTCTCTTCGAAAGATCAAAAATACCACACTGCACATTTTAATAGATATTAAAGCGAAACTGAACTTTTAGAAAAACCGCTAAAAACAGAGTCGATACCCCAAACGCTATCCTCAAGATACTGAAAACGGTGCTCACTGACATTATAGAACCCATTACTTTTTAAAACCTCACAATAGCTGACTTTTCTATTCCACTACGCAGAACACCATGATCAAATAGAGCCTGTGTTGTACCACCCACTCTGTGATTCTGGTAAAATTAAGTGACCCATTACTGTTTATGTGACTCCTGTAATTTGTGTTTTTTAGAGGATCTAGCAAACCTGGCCTCTTATCTCCAGCAGGTGTTAAAGTCTACTGCTCTCCAAGTTCTGTCTCTGAGATGTTACCAGTGAAATGCTGGGAGTGGGGAGAGAGCACCCCGGGGCTGGGGGTGTGCTCTGCCTGCAGGAGGTCCAATCCCAGGCACCCCAGGGTCCCCTATGCCCAGATATGTCACACTTTTGGGGCTGGAGAGATAGCACCGTGGGTAGGACATTTGCCTTGCACGCGGCCGACCCGGGTTCGATTCCCAGTATCCCATATGGTCCCCTGAGCACCGCCAGGAGCAACTCCTGAGTGCAGAGCCAGGAGTAACCCTGTTCATCGCTGGGTATCACCCAAAAAAGAAAAAAAGAAAAAGAAAAAAGAAAGAAATGTTACACTTCCTCTCCACCACATTGGTGGATAGGCCCCACCCCCAAGACCCAAAACAATGAGGGCATGACACCTCCTATCACAATCTCCTCCCTCCTCTTTTATTCTGTCACCTTCACCAAACCTCTAAATTCAGGTTGCTCTTCACCTGCAGACAAGTGTATTCAATCCACAGATTCCTCAGCGCTCCAATCCAGTCCAGGCCACAGAATAAACTACCCCAGAGCCCTCTTTCCACCCACCTCTTTGACCGAGGCCCCCATCAGCACACTGCTAGGTAGGCCCCATCCTCCACTCCACCCTGGCCTGATCTCAGGTTATGAATGACCATTCTAAAAAAAGATATAGTTTCTCTAAAAACTTACTCAGAAGTTTTTTTCACCTATGAATGAATCTCTGCCAAAATGATGACAACCAAATGAACAGATGGCTATTCATCTCCATGCTCTGAAATCCCATGAACTGTCATGAAGCCAAAGAGAATGAGCTATTTTACCACCTAGATTCAATCCTGCCTCTCCCCCTGCCAGGCTCAGAGAGAAAGATCCCCTGAATCATTGTTCCTTGCTGTTCTCCTGGGCGGAAAGATAGTACAGGGGTTATGCTTGCTTTGCATGTGGCTGGGCCTGGTTCACTCCCTGGCATCACCAGGAGTGGCCCCCAAGTAACATTGGCTATAGCCCAGACCAACTCTCCCAAACCCACAAGAAAAAAAAAAAAAAAGAAACAATCTGCTTTATTGGCTCCAGGTGCAATATGCACAGGGCATCTCTCCTTGAGTCTAAAACAATACACAAAGGTAAAGGTAAAGGCCCTCCCGTTGATCGTCGATTTGCTCGAGCGGGCCCAGTAACGTCTCCATTGGAGACTTTGTTGTTACTGTGTCTGGCATATCGAATACTCTCGGTAGCTTGCCAGGCTCTCCGAGAGGGGCGGAGGAATCGAACTCGGGTCGGCCATGTTGGCCGCGTGTAAGGCGAACGCCCTACCCGCTGTGCTATCGCTCCAGCGATAACAACAAAGTCTCCAATGGAGATGTTACTGGGCCCGCTCGAGCAAATCGACGATCAACGGGAGGGCCTTTACTTTACTTAATACACAAAGCAAAAAAAAAAAAAATTGTGAGGTCACCTCTCAAGGCCTTTAGTAAATATCCTACACGTAAACGTAATTCTATCTTCCTTCCCTGTGAGCTTTATTTCACACCACTCACGGCAATTTTGGTCCGCTTTCTCCACTTCTCTATAAAATAATGTTGAGCCCTGGCTCTTTCCTAAAACCTTTCCACCCATTGTTTTCATTTTCTCATAGTACATTTAGGTACCGGTCTCAGCATTTCCTTCAATCCCCATCTCTCCTTTGTCTTGTAGAAGAGACCCTGCTTTCATGCTCAGACCCTTTATCTACAGCTCTTAACGTCCACTATACCAACCAAGCACCTCTGGAGAAATAAAAAAATGCATGCCCTCTACACACAAACATATATGGTTTTATATATATTTTTAAATATATTTAGATATATGCACCATAGTATACACACACACAGAGAGAGTAAAGTGAGGCCTCCAAAATAATGATGAGCAGCACTAGATCACTGGGAATAAACAGTCATTCTTCAGACCCAGCATTCCCAGGTCAAGTAATTGCCAGGAATGGTCCTTCGACTCCAGAGGGCCCTCCAACACCCCCTCAAAAATGACTAAAGATTACTTTTGTACTCTGAATTCCATACAGCCCTTTCCAACTGCTGGAATTATTAGCTAATAAGTAATAGGAAAAACTTATATTTTAAGTAAAGAAGGAAATAAACGTCTTAAATGAAGAACGAATCAAAATAGCTTAGAAACTTCTTTGGAAATGTGGAGATAAGTACTTGAAGAACTACGGAGATAAAAGCAATTATGTCTGGAATGGCACCCAAGGGTGATAAGGGATAAGGCAAAATGAATGTTCTCATTAGAGTCTTTTCATCAACCATATCCATCTAAAATTTTAATAAAAGGTTTTAAATATAAAAACGTATGAGGAAGAAGAAAAAAAAAAACTGGGAAATTGAGCTTCCAAGTGACCCACCAATCTAATCCACTTCTGGGAATCTAGCCCAAAAGCCCAAAATCTCTTTGCAGAAAAGAAAAGAAAAGCATGCCTATGTTCACTACAGCATTACTGACAAGAGCCAAAATCTGAAAACAACCCAAAGGTCCAAGAACAGACAAAGAAAGCATGGGGTATCTACACAATGGAATACTACTCGGCTCCAAGCAAGGAAGCAACTTGCAGCTTATGTGGATGGAAGCAGAAAGTACCACGCTGAGTGAAGGAGACAGAGAATGATTTCTCTTCCGAATCGGGATAGAAAAACTCACAGCATGAAAACACAAAGCAATAGAATCGAAGTAAGGTCTAGCCCCCAAAACAGTGCAGAGCAGGGCTGTGAAACAGGACAAATGAGGCAGGGACAGGAGTGGGGAGATGGGGAAAGGGCCAGGAGGGAGCCTGGAGTCCAGCTTGAATGGAACCGGGCACTGTGGGGTTAGTATGGGGTTGTGATGTTGTATGCACAGATCCCGACCGCTTGACAGTACTGGAAACTAAAAATCATGGTAGCTAAAGTAAGTCTCTAAAAAAAACAAAATTCTATGAACAACAAAAATGTTAAATAATATTTAATAATAGTTAAATCATGACTATAGCACTGTAGCACTGTCCTCCCGTTGTTCATCGATTTGCTCGAGCAGGCACCAGTAACGTCTCCATTGTGAGACTTCTTGTTACTGCTTTTGGCATATCGAATACGTCACAGGTAGCTTGCCAAGCTTTGCCATGCGGGTGAGATACTCTGGGTAGCTTGCCGATTTCTCTGAGAGGGACAGAGGAATAGAACCCGGGTCAGCTGCATGCAAGGCAAACGTCCTACCCACCGTGCTATCGCTCCAGCCCTAAATCATGACAGACTGACCTAATGTGTAAGTGTAAAAAATGCTTATATAAATTTTTTAAAATATATTTTTTAAAAACTCTTAAGATACACAAGAAATTCATGGTGGGTTTGAGAGAAGAGGATTCAGACCTATTATTCACTTAGCATCTGATGACTTGGGGCCAGAGAGCTAGTACAGCAAGCAGGGAAGCCCTTGCCATGTTCTTGGCTGACCTGGGTCCAATTCTCGGCACCCCACATTGTCCCCTGAGACCACCAGGAATAAATTCTTGAGCAGAGAGCCAGGAATAAGCCCTCCCAGGTGTGGTCCCAAAAGACAAACGAAAACAAGATGACCTGACAGTGTGCTGTCTTAGCTCTCTGACATATGCACATACAACTGGTCAATTCTTTTGAAGGTTCTTACAAAGTTCTTCACAATCTGCT